GGCAGCCCGCCAGGAGCGGCTGACCGCCTGCTCGCCGGATTTAGCTACGTAAACACCACACACATCAACTGTCTCGCCAACAACATCTATTGAGGTGACGTTTTATTACAGTTTAATTATACCGTAATGCGAAATGTTACAGCGTACCGCGGCGTGTGGGAATGTATGGTATTATTTCTACAAACTACGGCTAAATGGTTTAATGGTTGAAAAAACCCAAGAACCCGAAGTTGTCCGAAACTAAAGTGAAGTATGTTAAATGTATTTTGGTTATGTAAAATAATGTTATGTGCGGTGTTTACACTGTACACGCTGCCGAGGAATCGCTGCTATGGTAAATGGTGATGACTAATTGGCGTCGCCAAGGAAAAGTAGGGAATGTAAAATAGGTACAAAAACATAATTAATGAAATGATCCCTTCGAACAAATTGATAGAAGATTTAAATTTAAATATAACACAAAGTGTTAGCCGAAACTTTTGGTGCACAGCACAGCACAGCACAGCACAGCACAGCATGCCACAGCACTGCACTGTGGCTGTGGTCACTGAATGACACTGTGGTATAATAATGATTTTTTCCAAATAACTAAATTAAAAATTAAATTAGACCTTCGGTCGCGACTTCACTTAACTTAGGTGGAATCGTAGCCAAGCGCTGGTTTATTTATGTTAAAAAAAGATACCTATGTACACTCATCTTACTTCTTACTAATATTATAAACTATCTTTCGCCCGCAACTACGTCCGCACTAAATTAAAAAAAAAAACAAAAGTGAGTAGCCGAGTACGTGTTCTTCTAGACTATTCTCTACATATATGCCAAATTTCATCGAAATCCGTTCAGCCGTTTAGGCTACAAACCCTAAAAAACCTCCATCCATCCATCCATTCATCCATCCATCTAAACACACACATTTATAATATTAGTAAGATAAATATGATTTCAAAGTTTAGATGGATGTATGGTCTTTAGAAGGTATCTTCGAAAAGGCTCGAAGTATATCGATATTTGGCTCAGATATAGGACATAGTCTGGAAGAACACATAGACTACTTGCTATTGCTTTTTTTCCGCGTAACGGAGTAATGGGCAAAGGCTAGTCTCCTGCCTATTTAAAAATAATGTGTTTAGAACTCTTTTTTAAAACATGAAATATGTACTTATATTATGTATTATTATGACCTCACTATACGTCCCCACTGAGGTTGTCGGAGCTCACCGCACTTTAGTGGCGGCCAGGTCAGTCAGCCGCGCTGGTCACTGATGGTTGATTTCACACACATTTATTAGCAGATATTATCTATGTGAAGATTGTATCACGATGTTTTCCTTCACCGTAAGAGCGCCGGGTAATCGTGCATATGAAATTCGAAAATCGAGAGACGCATTTATAGGTGTCGGGATTCGTACCCAGGACCCGTAAATTGCAAGTCGTGTACTTACCTGACCCTCAGTCACTGAAGTAAATGTATGTGTAGAACTGAAATCTAAAATTTTATCGTAGACTACGACTCGTAGCCATCCTAATTCAACCAATAGTTCCATTAAAAAATTGCATTTGATACTGTATATAGGGCGACAAGTTTATCTGGCCCATAGGTCCGTAGCCGTCTTGTGCAGTGCGCAGCGAGCAAGCGCCGAGTCTAGATCTGCGCGGTGTTGATGCGGCTGCGCCTAGCTGAGTTGATATTGTTTTTATTATCATTGCAGCAAGTATATATCTATTTTTGTAATTATATCTGTACTAATATAATGAAATGATGGAGTGATGACTGAGATGACGGATGATTGAGTGCTTTGGAGGACGAAAATCCGGCGCACCGACCCTACGGGAGTAGGATAAGGCAGGGGAGATGACTAATATAATGAAGCGTAAACACAAATTTCTTTATTACGTAGGATGTCAACAAACTCGAAAAAAGGTTTTGTAAGTCTATGACATAAAAAACCCTACACTTACTACTGTCTGTATGCTTTACATTTTAACGCCATCTACTTTAGGGAGTGAATAAATTTAAAAAAAAATGGTTTTGGGGAAATAACAAAAACTACAATTATTATTCAATGTCAAAGGTTTTCATTGTCATTAGAACATTTCAATCGAAAGTTTTAAGATTGTAAACGATAAAATAAAGTTTTTATAACTTGACATGAAGTATTTAAATAATACTTGTAATGTTTACTTCTGAAACCAACGGTTCACAACTTTAAACGAAAACAAGACAGGCGTCGAATGAATATTTCTTCTATAACGAAAGAAGGATGTAAATCTGATTAAGTCATGTTTGTTATTAATATTAAGTGAAAAACGCGCCGTTCTTACATTATAGCTAAATAAAAGTGTGTCAAATTAAATACTCTCTAGTTTGAAATGTCTAAAAATAAATAAAACTGTGCTACTTGCTTTCTCTAAGATGATTCTCTGGCGCCGAAAAAACTGTGATATCCCGCACAGATACATGGTGATGGTGCGCAGTGCGTAGTGCACAATGCGTGGTGCGCAGTGCGTGGCGCACGTACCGTGGGGCGCAGTGCGTGGTGCGCGGCGCGAGCACTATTGGCGGACAGCGGACGGGAGCCACAAGTGGTGGCGGGGTATCCTCATCTTTGACTCTGAACTTGTGATTTAAGATGGCCGTCACATCTCTGTTATTATTGGATGGCGCTGTAATAGTTGATAATTGTTACGCATACAGGATGTTCAGTGTAAGTGTACGCCACGGAGACTTTAACAAATAACTTTAATATCTATGAGCTTACATTTTAAGAAATATAAGTTACTAATTCTTGCAACATAATTTTGCTTTAGACAACATTTTATTTCTCTGTACCGTTTTCTATAATTCTTATATTTGGAACCTAGTCCAGTGGTGCGGATAGACCCGATCTTTACCCTGTGCTGCGGTTCCGTGAGTAAATATTGCCCTCACTATTGTCGACCTTCGAAAGAAGAAGAAGTGTGGTACAGGAAAAAAAGGAGGTACTGAAGACAGATCAGTAGAAACTTGCACACGATAAATATATTGGGCAATATGCCGGCTGGATAAGTAGTAAGTCGTCCTGTAGATTGACTAAGCTGGTTTTAACCGGTGCAGTCCCGCGGGCTCCGGTTGCCTCTTTAATTGTGCGCAATTCCCCGGCCGGCATCCCGCACCCACCACAGACCCCGCGTGGACCTGTGCTGCTTGTGCTGCTCTCCTCCAGCGCGCAAAATTAAATTTGAAGTCCCCGTATAGGACCATGATCTCCCTCAGCTATAGCTTCCGCAACCCACGATTTTTGCAGGTTATAGTTAGCGGTAGCGTATCTCCATTCCCTAGGACTTTGCGAGATGTAGACATAGACGTGTTTTTACAAAGATCATTTCTTTCTTTAGGACCACTTATTTTTGCTTTTTAGGTTTTAATTAAACCCGATTTTACATGTAAAATGTTATATAATGTGCATATCATATTTGATTGCACTGGCAAGTGCGTATTGTTGTGTGTTACGAGTGGGTGTAGAATGTAGATGAGCGAGTCATTTGGTTGTTTTATACATTTAATTATCTACAATTTGAGGTGATCGACTAATGAACTAATAAAACAAGATAATGTTAATTATTTAATTATGTATCATAAACAAAAAACATTTATGTTAGTCGACCTTAGCGTGTACAATATGTTCTTGCCATTTGCCCTTGAATGATATCCGATTTAACAACATCACTTTATACAGGGTGATCGTTTTTAATTTGAAATTATGTAAATAACTAACTAAATAACAGAACAGGGTGAAAGTGTCTGATGACGATGGAATATATAACATAACATAAATGAGTTGTAGGAATGTGAAAATCTTATAAACAAAATAAGGGACATATTGTAATACAACATATTTTTTCAAAACGATAGTGTACATATATGATGAGTTAGGTAAGTAAGGTAGGGCGCTGCGGCGGCGGCGACGGCGGGCCGCGGCAGTAAACCTTGAGCGAGCCCCGCAGCGGCGCGCCGGCGGGCGCCTTAACCACCGCACTGAGGTGGCGGTGTCCCGCGCCACCGCGCAGCAGCACCGGCACTGCCTCGCCCGCGCCCGTCTCTATCGCCACGTGCGAGATCTGCAACCGTCCTCCGACCTTCAGCCCTCAGACCTCCCCGCGTCTTGCATAATCGTACATCGAAAAATATACATTTGTAAATATTCTTATGTCGGCTGAGCGAAGACTACCAAATCAGTTTTGGCGATGCCTATCTTTCTGCAAGAATAAGAAAGGAAAGCGAGTAGCGGAGGCGCACCTCGCAGTCGGTGATGGTCTGGCAGAAGATGCGGTGTCCGGTGGGTTTGGCCGCGTAGTCGAAGCGCTTCATATACACACGCCGGTCGCCGCGGCGCCGCGCGCCCTGGTACAGGCTGCGGTACGGGGCGCGCACGTACCCCGCCCCTGCACCTGCCGCCGAAACCCGCGCGCCCCGCAGCGGCTCCGGGTACGCGTATCCAAAATTCACACGTCTATAGTTTGGGCTAGAAAATAACGAAATCAATGATCACTCGGACTACCCGCGCGGGCAGTATATTGTGAACTTTCGTTCCCAATCAACCAGCAATGAACGTCAGCGTCCCGCCGGAGATGCCGGAACCCCACCAATAGCACTAGAATATGGCCACCGAGGGGTTTTAGTGGGTAAAACCTCCCGTTGTCATAATCCTGTTCCACCCCAGAAGCAGGGCATCATTATTAGGATTCTCCCTCGTACCAAAAAAAGACCACAATTAATGTGTTTCTATGTGATCGTCGTAAACAAATATATCTCGGACGCTTAGTTGTAAACGATGTACTCACATGACTCGCTTACCTAGTCCATAATTGTGTAATTTCTCGTATGTAAAGTGTTGGCTGTTGAGCGGAGTTGGTGCGCAGACGCAGAGGGCCTGCACCGCCACGGCCAGGCGGATCGCGGTCGCGAGGCGCGCTGTGCGCATGCTGGCGCGTGCTGGCCGCGAGCGGGCCGCGAGCTGGCCGTGTGCTGCCGGCGGGTTGCCCGAGGGCAGCTCTGTCGCACTTTATCAACAGCTCGTTACAGCTGAGCGCCGCCGCCGCACTATAAATACAATAACTATTTGTTCTTATCGGTAAGTGCGCGCTGTGTGTACAAAGAACTTAACGATTTTTGTTTTATACTTACTTGGATATTACACAGGCAATAGCTAGTGTAATATAATCACGTGTATTTCATACTTATGCTCAGTTAGCACTTTTCCAGGCCAGGCCTCACTCAGTAAAAAAAAATAGAAACCCACTGTTTTAACAGGGTAAATTATTAGGCATATTCCGTAGCGAAGGGAGCACTTGCTTTCGCAACCCATATAACATTTACTATTTTTTTTTGTAGTTGTACATAATTAATGTTAGGATCTGTGAGGTGGCAAAAATTGTAGCGTGCCCAAGGTTCGCCATCCCCGCCATGGGTATAGATGTCCAAGTATAGTATATGCCCTATGGAAAATGTAAAACCTTGGGTTACAAATCTTAAGGAGGGACGGGGGGGGGATAGACAGTTAACCCGAAAATTCCACATCATTTTTAAAACATTACTTAATTTTTTCCCTTCTTTTACAAACTTTAAATTATAAAGCTTCCTGTACATTTGTGTAAAAACTAAATTTAATAAATTCAACTAGCGATCATTCGTAAATGGGAAGGTTTAATTATAAAATATTCTGGTTACAAACCGAAATAGTGATGTAAGTTACGTAGAACGACATTGCTTCCTGGTATAGTTCCACAAGGCTTTTTGACATTGATAGGATGGCGCCTCTGAGCGTTTAGGGTTACCAGCAAGGTAATAAGTCCGCATTAAAGGGGAATTCTTCCCTTTTGAAAACGAAAACGAAAACTGTAAAGGAAGTACCTGTACCTTACAATGTAACTAGGAAATGCCCCAGACTTCGTCTGTCGGTAAGAAGGCTCTATAGTTAAAGAATCTTTGTAGTAAACTTTTAGCAATAGAGTGCATTGCTTGAGACAGTTAGGGAAGGAATAGTCTTAACATATTAGAAATAGTATTACTTCGCGCTCATCTACAGAATAATAGAAATCTTACTTATTGTTGTTTATTATCAACGCACAACTATGTGGTGTAGTTTGAACTGTGCCTTTTGAAAACATCAGATAATTAGTTTTTGATACATTAATGAGTACACACAGTAATTTCCTGAATACGTAATATGAAATTTATGTCAAGAAGGCCATACTTCCAGGTGCACAAAATACGTTATAATAAAGGATCGGTCACTGCAATTTGGAATAGGAAATAAAACAATTTTCAGCAAAATATTTTAAAGTCAATTAGTATATAAAAATTTTTTAAATTACAAATTTAAAAATATGCGTCGCCTTGAGAGGTAGGGAATTTCGTTAATAACAGATGGTAACAAATTCTGATTGCAACAGGCACAAGATGATTCACATTTTCAAATGAAATTACTGGACCCCCCTACTTCTTCTCAGCGATAAAAAAATCTCCCACTTAAAAAAAACTCTCTTGCACTACTTTTAAACACTTCACTTTATTTCATGGAATAACATTAAAAAGCCACACAGATGACAAATTAAAAAGCAGCCGCGACCGCTTCGATGAATTGACGACAAGAAGTTGTGTAAATGTTATGAATAGATGGCGTTATAAACAAACAATGCGTAAAGTGAATGACGCGAAGTGAACTGACAATTTATGTCACTATTACCCTGACATTAAATTTCACTTCCTACTTTATAAAATTTGCCGGCTGCCAAAACAATCTTGTAGGACAATATATTATAGCTCCAAAACTTAGACGTCCTTTCAACCTCCTGTCAAATGTCAAAAAATTGACAGAAGATGTCAAAGTATATTGTACTCTTGGTGTAAAGTATTCATTCGATTTTCTTGAAGAGTCTTTTGAATAGAATAGTTAATAAAATAATGAGTAAACTAGAAAACAAACTTGTGTAAATCACAGTCACCCCTTAATATATCGATGTCTTCCGACATGGATGGTGCGAGCTCTAGTATTTTCATGTTTATATTATCATTTATATTATTTTACTGTTAGTTAACATTTGCAGGGTCATCAGCAAATAAATCGACTCCTCTTGAAGCCATAGGCTTTGAAAATGTGACTAATATCATTGAATTAAAAGATAAATTAAACGAAATTATTGGCGCGGGGAAAAATTACGAGAATGATATATCCTCATGTCTTAAAACCCTTCTAAAGGGTAGCGAGCAAGATATCGTACTGCTGTGCGTACATGCCATCGCTGAACTCGCCAAATGTGACATTAAAAGACAAACGTACGCTCAGAAAGAGTATGTGGAACCCCTACTGAACATTGTCAGTGAGGACATCAGTGCGGAGTCTGCGGAAGTCGTCAAGCAGTGCTGTCGGGCTCTCGGCAACCTGTGTTGTGATTGTGATGCTGCTAGAAATATTATTTTAGACAACAATGGGCCTGCAATACTCTTGAAACTACTCACCCAAACCCTAGGAGACAACAAGTTTGCAGAGATCAGATTGCTCACGAGCAAGACATTGTTGAACTTTGCAATTGGGGGTAAACAATTCTCAGAATCAATAGTGAAAGAAGGGATAATAGATGTGCAACATAAAATACTTCTGCGGGAGAGTTTAAAAGAGGTGATGAATGATGAAGAGGTAACCACCGCACTGCTAATTCTCAGTGTTATAAATGACAATACACCCGAATTACAGTTTGAGCCACATATTAACAAGATAGTATTGGATGTGCTGCGCGACACAGATAGCATGGCAGTGTCCGAGCTGTGCCTGGAGCACCTCCTCACGCAAGCCGAGCACGGTCAGTATACACTGCCGCCGTACACGTCCT